CCAATGAACATCGATTCTTATGCTGGCGATACCTGCACCGAAGTCGCGTGTGCAAGAACCAATGTTATGTATTGTATGTTGAACTTCTTTCACACCGTACGTAGCCAACCATGCAAATCCGAGGTGCGAGGGAATGACAACAAACTAAAAACACAAACATCTGTTCCAAAGAAATTCGTTTTCAATATTGATTTTTTTTTTAAATTAATCATCCATGTTGTTTTATTCGTACATATGTTGTAGATAATGGGTTCACATGACCCCTGTAGCTGCTGGAGGTGCTAACATTCACCATCATGTTGAAATAGAACTGCATCTCTAATCGAATTTAGGACAAATCATCATCGAATCATTGCATCCCTACTTCTAACCTACAGCTTGCACCAGATTACCGTAGTTTAATAGCAGTCGATTGCATGGGAGTACACATGAACAATTCTGCAAAAATACAATTGAGTCAACATTAAGCACACACACTTTCAAGTTGAATTACATCGCGGTGGCGGCGGTAGAAGGAAGAGGAAATAGGGTTGGGCCATAGAGGTTGTGCAAAAATCGGATTTTGAGATAATACTCAATAGAGGTTTCAACTAAGCAGAAGAAAGGGAGATATCCTGATTGAGCCAAAAAGAATCTGAGACATCAGTCTCAAGCGTGAGCCATTGTTTGGTGGGTGTGCTGGCGAAATGTCATGCCCCAAATCTTGCTATACCACAAATAAACTCGAAATCAGAGGTGTCCTTCACCCAAATCCTCCACGAGACCCACCGTCCCGAAGGTAGAGTTGCCATTTCGTGTCTTCCAATGAATATATCTATCCATGAACATTTGAGGTACAGCTGACAGCACTCGTATGGAAAACATGAATTGCTAAAATGTCATCACTTCGGGCCAGGCAAAAACCCACAAAGAATCAACATCTTTTTTTTCAACAAGACCTGGAAATTTTAACCAAAAGACCATAACTATGAAAGTATGTCAGCACTTGCCCGTGTTACCCATTGACAGGTTATGAGCCGTTTACATTTGTTTACTCTGTGTTATTACACTTTCTCTAAAGGCTACCATCATTATTATTACGTATACCATGTAGTATTAATAATAATGTACAGCTTATTTGGATCTCATTATTTATGTATTTTATGTATTTTTATTTGATAATGATGAATGATTCCTCTTGTTCACCCAGGAAAGCCTCACGGAGTCTCGAGACGTCTTCAGGAGGGCACCGTCAAGTTTCTGCAGAAGGGGCGACGTTGCTGCTCTGTGTAATCCAAATTGTGTAACTTGCAGGCAATTGTTTAGCAGTAATGTTTGGCCAAGATCGGTTACAATTTATGGGTTTGTTTTAGCTATGGAAGGAAAATGGGGAACCCAGAAGAAACCCATCCAGAACAGAGGGCGAACATTACAAATTCCATACAAAAGCACCCAATTCGTTTGGATATATGGATGAAATGTGCATTACAAATGTAAATTATTATCAAGTAAGGAATCTAAGCAGACCCTTCTTGCTCTGAGGCACAGTGTTACAAGCATCACCACTGTACCACCCTGCTGCATGAGTCACTCAATTCAGTCCCTATAATTAATGTGCATCAACATTTTAAAACATTCACTAACAAAGTGCAGCATCTCATATCACACTAATGACAGTTTTTCCTTCCCAATCACTATTATAAGCAATGGGGAAGTAATTGTTTACGGAACTGAACGACCAATTGATCTTGAGAAAAGATAAACGTGCACAAATTCTCTTTCAGATGCACTGAAATGTCAAAAGTCCATCCTGAGAATAGCAGCTGCACAACGAGCTATTGCACAGGTTTTCTAATTAGTGCATGAACGCACAATAATTCGTTTTTATGCTCCCTCTTTCGACATTAAAGGCAATGGGAGAGGATCATTTGGTAGAACATCAACAAGCTGATTGCAAATTGAGAGCACGTTACGGGTACGAATAACGGACATAAAACAGCTGTCTATATAGTAAGAGTGCAAGCATTGTGAAACATAATGGGGTAATTCTGTAAGAGATCTCTTCTCGCTGCAGTGTTTGTTAAGTGCTGATAGCAAGCGTTTGTTTTTGATGGGATAGTACATTCAAACGTGTGTAATACATGCATGCCATGCTTTATAATGGTTGCTTTTCCCCAAAGATATCGCACGCTTCTGCGGGTATACAGTTAAGGGCCAAGTGACCTCCTGGGAGGCCCTCAGTGGGGAAGAGATCAACCTGAATAGTGGGGGAAATGTCAAAGGTCAGGTTTGTGTTTCACACAAGAAGCAGGCACTGACATTAAAACCATAACAAATATTTACGAAAATTCAGGATTATATTTGCAATTTTTTGGATAAATAATTCATTTGCAACGATATAACAAAGCACGGGTCACTGTTCTGCCAAGTCTTTACAGAAATTGTGACAGTCCTTTCTCAGAGATGCATCTCAGAGAGGAAGAACATGGGCACTGACGACGGAGCTATGTAGAACTTCTTTTACACCATACGTAGCCAACCGTGCTAATCAGAGGTGCGGGTTACACGTTCGTTTTGAAGGAGACAACCACGGGAGCATGGCAAGGGGTGATCTGGTAAGGAGGAGATGAGAGGCATGCTTGGCTTGTGAGGCCACATCACGACAGTCGATATAAATGCTCAGAATGTATTACACTGGTTAAAATAGATTCACATGCTTACGACAAATGCAGTAAATAGCATGCGTGATCGCTTATTTTTTACGATTAATGCCAATTGTATATGATTTAATGTAAATATTAGGCTAATTATGTATTTAAGTTAAGGGAATAAACAAGACAAACAGGAAAAAATAGAAATGAGACGGTTAAAAAAAGACAAAAGACACAGTGGGTTTTTTCCCCTTCGGGTCATGTGTTTTTTTCTTAAATTGCCACGCGATGGTTCGACTGTCGTGCAATGAACATTTCTCTCTGTAGCCGAATAGGTGAGAAAAGTGCTTGTTTGAACCAGAGGTCACTTGAAGGGAACTCAGAGGTAGTAGCTCTATGGCATCCATTTCCGTGGGCCTCATTCTCCAAGGGTTGCACTGCTGTGTGAGCAATCCAAATGGACACTTCATGTCATGACACCGATGGCACGAATCGGGATAACAATAAAAAGGTCAGCCCTGCATCCACGCACACTCACAGGCAGCAACTGCCGTGGCGTGTTGTGTGCACGGCACACTCATGAATTTGCCACGATGTAACACGACCACACCATACCTCCACCGGTGTGGTGTCCTCTCTATAAATAGGCATGTGTTTCCATTGATGCCTGCAACATGAGTTGTACCCGCCATATACAGTAATGTATGTGCACTCCATATACTGTGAAGGTTACTCAAATTGTACACACACGCGCGCCCTTTATTTAATCTCAGAGAGGCGAGGTCTCTATATTTATTTAATCTCAGAGGCAAAGTGTATATTATACAAGAGAAGACAAGCTTGTAACAGGGGTTGCTCGCAAATGGGGTTGAACTTTATGTAAATTATATATTGCTATACACATTGCACAATGTATCATTGTATCGCTGTTACTAAACGCTTGGTAAATATTACTGTAGTACACACACTATGTACTACAGTATAATAGTATACATGGCCAAATTCACATGTAAAAATGTCTTTATCTCTTACCAAATCCATCCAATAGCTCGGCTGTATACAGCGAGTAACTCACAATTGGAAGGTTGCGAGTTCAAATGCTGGTTGGGAGTTGACCAAGCCCATCATCCTTCTGGGGTAGATAAATAGGTATCACTTTGTGTGGAAGCCAGCAGTCGTTGTCCTACAGATAGACTCACCCCTGCCATAGGAATGGGGAATTCTCACCACTGACTCAGGATTGTAAACAGAGGATGAGCATGACCTCAGTGCCCATTTGTGCAGGAAATCACTTTGTCTGTTACCACTATGCAGTGTAGAAATAAACAAGGCTCCGCATGAATAACATACCTCGGTTTGGTACAGGATGCGAGTTCAAACATCCAAGTCAGGATGGACTCGGCACCAGCATCATTGCCATCAACATGATCATGGTCATATATCTGTCATCTATTCATTGCGCAAAAACCATTATCATGATCCCTTTCAGGAGTAGAGTATTTGTATTTCCCTGTGACTGGCTTGTCACATTCGTGTCCTGTGGAATGGGTACAGAATTTTCTTACGTTTGTCTCTATATTCATGTCTCCCTCATCGTCTCTTTATTCAATATTCTGTATTTCTCTCGCTGTGTCTGTGCCACCATCTCACTGCGGCTCTCTCCCCGTCTTCCTCCCAGGTTATGTGCCTCCGATGTGAATCGTTGCTCTCTGTTTGACTGCACTTTTGTCTCTGGTCATCTACTCCTCACTCTCTCTGAAGAGACAGACTACATTCAACTCTTTTTTTTATTTAACGAGGTAAGGCCCACTACTGTATTAGTTATTTTTTTCAGAAGCGACCTGGCCACAAATGATAGCTGAACGAAGTGGCTAATCACGTGAAAATTAAAGCAGCCAAATACTTTCAAGTCCAACCTCATGACGACGGGGAGAGAGGCACGCAAACTCCAAATACACAACAGGTATCAGGGTCGGCATCGAACCCACGACGACCTCCTGTACACACGGCGAGGTTGTCAACATCTCGCCACAGCGGCGCCAATCGCACAACAAAGACTACACGCACGTGCATCTCTGCTACGGAGCACCGTATTCTGCAGCATGGAGTTGTGGGTGAAGCGTTGAGATGCTTCCCCATGTTAGTCGGCGGGGGGATGCGATTCATAAAAACCCCGCGGCTTTGATGCGCCGCGCCACGCGTGATTTGCAGGCAGCAGACGGCGGCTGAGGGGCTCCTCCCATTGGCCACAGACACAGCAGGGGGCGGGGCGAGGGGCGGGGCGGGGCGAGGGGCGGGGCGGGGCGAGGGGCGGGGGGCGGAGAGGAACGCAGCAGTCGGAGCCGGCGGCTCCATCCCGCACGGAGCGCGCGTCAACAATCAGCACCACCACCAGCACCACCACCACGGTCAGTCAACCACCACCACGGCCAGTCGACCACCGCCACCTTCTCTGCAGCACGGCTCGTGCGCGGCGAGGATTAACGCAGAGGGGCTCTGCACTGGCGGTAAGAGGAGACGAATGCGTGGTGGTGGTGGTGGCGGTGGCCACCAGAACGGCGTCCTGCTGCCCGCGTCGTGCGTCACGTGTCGCGTCGTGCTGTGATGGGTGCTCGCGAACAGCACTCGGCCCCCCGGCCCCCAGCCGTGTGCTGTTGAAGGCTACACGGGGGACCTTTGCCTGTGTGTGAGTACACGTGTGTGTGTGTGTACACGTGTGTGTGTGTGTGTACACGTGTGTGTGTACACGTGTGTGTGTGTACACGTGTGTGTGTGTGTACACGTGTGTGTGTGTGTACGTGTGTGTGTGTGTGTACACGTGTGTACATGCACGCAGCATTGCGCATCACAGACTGAGTCATGGGTCCCGCGTGCCGACTGCACGGACTGCGGACAACGCAGTGGTCAGGGCTGCGTTGCATCCGAGTGTCTGAGTGTGTGTGTGTCTGTGTGTGTGTGTCTGTGTGTGTATGTGTGTCTGTGTGTCTATGTGTGTCTGAGTGTGTGTGTGTCTGTATGTGTGTCTGTATGTGTATGCGTGTCTGACTGTGTGTGTCTGTGTGTGTGTCTGACTGTGTGTGTGTCTGTGTGTGTGTCTGTGTGTCTGTGTGTGTGTCTGAGTGTCTGACTGTGTGTGTGTATCTGTATGTGAATGTGTGTCTGTGTGTGTGTGTCTGTATGTGCATGTGTGTCTGTGTGTGTGTGTCTGTGTGTCTGTGTGTGTGTGTGTCTGTCTGTGTGTGTGTCTGAGTGTGCAAGTAAGCCATGTGCAGTGTGTCCAATGTAGGGTGACATCGTTCAAATAATCTGGATTCTGATTTACAGCGCATGCGGCATGCGGCATGCGTGCGGAGGGCGCGTGTGCGACTTTCATGATTGTGTTATCCTAAGGAGCTATTATTATTATTCAGTGAATACGCTGTGTGTGTGTATATATAGATGGGCATCTCCATGTTTAAGTGTGTAATCCTACGTAATCTTTATACATGCCACTACGCATGCGTGTACTTATATTGCTATGCAAAGACAACTCTCGTAATAAGTAAATTGTTCTCTATTTCTACGATAAAAGTGAAGGACAGCCTGTCCCAGTAAACATACCAACGTGAGGGCAACGTTGGCAAGTGGTTGGAAACGTTGGACCAATGTTGGGCCATGGTTGGACAAAATTTGGACATACGTTAGCCCAACGTTAGCCCAACGTTGAGACATGTTGTGGGAACCGTTGGATCAGTGTTGGACCAAAGTTCCATGTCAGTGGGTTGTGAGCCCTTTGCCCAGCCAATGGTGCGTGAAGGTCTCCGAGATCCGCATTAGTCGTGGGGGTTTGTTTGACCATACTGCGCCACGGCTGCTCAGTAGGCACGGGGCTTTGAAACGCGATGGAAATGGGAAACCAGCCAGGACCCGTTCAGACGCATTCGCCGCTGATGTTTGCTGTGAACGGGAATCGAACTCGGGGTGGTTCGGTTCAGTGCAGCGAGTGAACCAGCGCACACACACCGAGTGCGATACTGTGAGTGTACACACACACACACACGTGTTTAGATTTGCTCACATCGTATATGCTGTATGTATTTAATGTCAACAAGTCAAATTCACCAATAGCACTGCAATGGCCCTTCACAGCACGTTGTGGTGCTGTGAAGGGCCATTGTCATACACGTCGCCTATTCCAGTGCAGTAATTCATTTAGAGCAGTGTCATTGACAAATGTGTTGATGTTGTTATTCGGGGCCGTCCATAAATGACGTCACGCACCTGGGGGGGGGGGGGGTCAGACATGTGTGACGAGGGGGGGGGGGGTGACAAATGTGACGTCACATCAAAATGCGCAACTTTAAATAAATATAGACAACACGTTCTTCTTAATTAAATATACTTTTTAATAAATGTTTTCTCATACAACATCAGAGTGCAGCGCCACACTAATTACGCACTACAATGACAATAGTTTAAAGAGATTTGAAGCATGTTTTATTTTTAGGGCGGGCAGAGCTTTGTGACGTCATATTTGAGGGGGGGGGGTCTGACTTTTTGTGACGTCGTGTGACGAAGGGGGGGGGGGTCAAAAATCGTCCAAAATCGCGTGACGTCATTTATGGACGGCCCCTTTGTGCACCACTGCCAAACGCAGCATCAAATTATTGATATTTAACATATGTCTATATGCAACGTGTCATCTAGTGTGTCATGCGTGCAATGTATGGCTGTTAACGTGAGGGTTTGTGCATTCAACATACACTAACTCACTTCTCTTCTGCGTATGTATGTGTGTAGCACAATGATAGAGGTTACACATGCTTCATACAGAATCGGTGTGCTCGTGAGCATGTGGGAATGTGTGTGCGCGGTGACTCACCAGAATGAGTACCTGGTGCCAGGCGTGGTGATGACCACACCACCACCTTGTGCACCGTTCTTATTATAACCAATGGGACAGTCAAGGTACTGCTCTGATTGTGTAAATGGGGATGGAAATTCTTACATTTCCCAGTGAGCAAAAAAACATTTCTCTCCCGGGGAAAATTAAAAGAAAATAGGGATAATTGGACCTCGGTTAATTTTCTCTGTCTCTCCCTGCTCGCTGTATTAAGTGGTTATTCTACGCGGTTATGTTGATGCGGTGAATATAATCACAACAGCGCTAGGGCAGAGCCATCCCCCCACGTTCTATTCAATAAAGCAGTAACACTTCAACTTGCAAGGTTACGGGTTCTTCCACTCAGTGTGATCGGGTAGGGCTTAAACTATTGTGATAAGTACTGTAGCTTCCAATATATAATTTATGCTTGACATTTTATCAATCAGTCCACGCTAATGTGAAGACCATGTGACAGAACTGCAGTTGACCTATGAGATATATATATATATAATCCATGCCAACTAAGAACCCAAAACGTTTTAAATTACTGTAACTAAAACTACTAGGGTAGACAAAGTGAAACAATATTCTAAAGGTTACTTATAAAAAAGATAATCAATGTGTATGCATATTTTTACTTAACAATTACCAAAACCTATCAGTCGCCTTTCATATTCCCACCAGAGAGCATTCATAACTGCTGCTGTTTTGTTTTTCTATGTATGTATAACTTATTTCAACGCCGTATGTAGCCAAGTGTGCTGATCGGAGGTGTGTCAGGACAACAAACCAAGCACAAAAAGCAGTTCTAAAGAAATGGGGTTTCAATCTAAATTTAAAAGTGCATAGCTCCAGTGACTTCCTAATATGGGAAGGAAGAGCGTTCCAGACGGCTGCAGAAGCGCATCTGAACGCGCCAGCCAAAGCCATTGTGAGGATGACTGGAGTTCGCGTGATGGTTTATGCTCCTTGATGAAATCAGCAAGATATTGTGGTTCATTTGTGGCAGTATATATAATATATCACTCTACAATTGCCGGCACTGCTGTTTATACGGGCGTATTGTGTGCTACTTGAGTGCAACATTCTGCTGCGCTGACCGTACAGTGATAGCGCGGCTCTCCATCTCATCCTGGGAGGGGATACGGTTACAGCCATCGCTGGTCGCCCTGGTTAAAAGGTGACATGGGCTCATTGCCATGAAAGATGGACAGATTATGCACTGAGGGACCATACCTCATGTATGCTATCACGTATTGAGGCGGTCAGCTGCCGATGTTTTTCACCCTATTGATACATTCCACTTTGTAAACAATTAGGAGAGGAAAAACATATTCAAATTGCTTTGCAATTCGGGAGACAGTAAAGGGTTCAAAATATTACAGCAGACTGCCAACATCAACAGGGTTGGCAAGTATGCAATCTCCTAGTTTACACACTAAATATATATCTCTCATTTAAGGAAGAGCACGTCTGAATGTAAAGCGTAATTATCGGAGAGCACTTTAACAACCTGCGAGCAATCACAACGTCTGCTGCACGTTGCCGTGGAAGGGGCAGACATCACCTGGCCTCATCTGCTGGCTCGACGGCAGCAAAATGCGATAATTTCAGGTGATTGGGGACGTGGTCAACATTGAGATTTACAAAACGACCCAAGTGGACCCCAGTAATTGACCGGAATGAGAAAACATTTAAAAGATGGCTATTTTGTTAATGATCAGTCATGTTTCCAAAAAATACATATTTAAGTTGCTATGTTGAAATATTAAATGTTTGGCCTCAAATGAGGTAAAATTTAAAAGTGGGATATGTTGTACTTACATTCATAAACATGAATACAAAATATGAATATTCATGGTAATTTTTTATATTAACATTTTTGAAATTCATGATATTATCAATATCTGTATCATCTATTTCACCCGAATGAGGTGAAATTTGAATATGATCGATCTTATTGGTCGTATTCGTATCAAGAAAGCGCAGATGCTATGCATTGTGTAGTAGCTCTCGTCCACAGACAGCAAAATAAGAATTAGCCTAAGGCACTCACCCAGTAATAATCTGTTTTGATATTTTGGTTGGAGTGCAGGGAAGAGAGGGTGGGAGGGTGGACTGGGGGTTCGAGGCTACTTAACAAGTCGCATTTGCAGCCGTTGAACTCTGGTACATATTTCCATTATCACCTTTCCCTTTATACCCTGAAATGGCATCGCAGAAGAAAAACAAATTCTCAGTTCTCCAAGTTCCACGAATGGATGAGGCACTCCCCATGACATCCATTGATGGTATCCCAGGACTATTTTGATATTACTTTCCACTGATTTTAGCTGCATCTAGGAATCAGACTCAGGTCCATGCGTTCATAGCGACTGCACCGCCACTCCCTATCATTGCAGGTATATGTGGAAAAACTATGCCTATAGTTTTTTTATGGAATTGTCTTTTCATTGGCTTAAAATCACAATCCATTGTTTACAATAACAAAAAAATCTAAATGTGTCCTTGCAATGTTCATAGTAGGTCCATGCTCACAAGGAAATTAAGTTATTGATGTACATTATTAAATTATTAATGGCCCTAGAAATAATAACTTTTTTCAGGAGGGTTCTCAAACAAGGTAATACCTGTTTTGGGTAT